GCATCCAAATCCCATGCCCATGGTAACTAGGGGGTCAGGTCCTCCCATTGTAGTGTGAGGGGGTCCTTCCAACTGACTTTCACTTGTGGCTTAGGGTTTAGTTGTCCCCAGTGCTTCTGAAATCTGGATTCAGTTGCCCCTTTTGAAAAATTTAAAATGTTAATGGTAAACAAAGCTATCTGTAATGGTATATGGGGGCTAACTCCCATTCTTTGTTTTAAGACATTGGTGATTTCTTTCCATAATTGCTTGGCCTTGGGGATTATAGGGAATTCCTTTAGTATGATTATTATGCCATTTGTCAAAAAAAATCTGACATTGCTTTACTAACAATACAGGGTCCATTATCAATTTTAACTTGTGCTGGTAGACCCAAGGTGGCAAAGCATTGAAGAAATTGTGCTTGTGAATGTTTAGTCCTTTCTCCTGTATGTGCTATGGCCCAGCATGCCCCTGAGTAGGTATCTATAGAGACAAAGATATATTTAAACTTACCAAAGGCTAGGAAATGAGTAACATCCATTTGCCAGAGGATGTTAGGTTTAAGGCCTCTGGGATTTACCCCTGGTGGTTGTAATGGGGTACTTTAAGAAGGGCTGGCATGTTTTACAGGTATGTACTATCCTTTTGAGGTCCTTTACAGGAATCTGAGCTCAAATGTTGAATATGAATAGGGGCTCCCCACCCTTCTGATAGGCCCATAAGGGTAACCATAAGAGGGGAAATAGGGTTTTCATCCAGCTTAATATGTGCCTGGGGAATATGAGGGAGCATGTTAATCACATATAGGCTATCTGAATACAAATTAAAGGGTTTTTGAATGTCCTGAAGGGCCATAATTACAGCCAGCATTTCTTTATATTGTGCTGACCCTTGACAAGGCTGAAATCTTTGTTGGCTCGGGGTCTTTGGTTGCTCCTCAAAGGCTGCGTAGGCAGAGCCTGCTTTACCTCCATCAATAAAAACATGGAGGGTGCCAGGAATAGGCATAGGAGAAAATAGAGATGGCATTTTGAGGGGAAGTCACCATAACATGACATGACAGTCCATTTGAATGGCCCATAATAGCAGTCAATTTGGCCTAGAAACCCCTCCAAGGAGAGAGCAAGATGAGCATTGGCTTGAGTGAGCCACTCAATGTCTGCTATCTGAAAAGGAAAAACAAAGGAGTGAGGTTCAAGGCCATAATGCCTTTGGGATTGGGTCCGTCCCTTAACAATAGCATCTGCAAGTTGGTCTGCTTGAGAGTACATCCGAGGTGTGCCCCCCAGAGGAGTGTGAACCCACTCTAATGGCTCCCCACTTTGAGTTAAAACTGCAGATATTAATGTGACACCTCCAAACAACCAAAGGGAAATGGGCTCAAAATAGAATACCTCTTTAGGGAAACTTCATCCAGGGCTTTTTGGAACTGCAAAAATATTGCCCAATGGCTGTCTGTAATTGTAATAACTTCTTGGGGCATCCTGTCTTTTAGTAGGGCAAATAAGGGCACAAGACTATATTTAGGGACAGAAACCCATGGCAACAGCCAATTGATTTCCCCTAAAAGACTCTGAAGTTGGGTTAAGGTTAGAGAGTTTGGAATATCCAACAAAGGCTAAAGGGGGCTGGCCTGAGTCAAGGTAAGGTGGGTCCTGAGCACCTTAAAAGGAGCTACCTTATGAATTTTATTAAGGGCTATGGTAAAACCCCCCTTTTTTAATATGGTGAGAACTTGGGCCAGAAGGCCCTCCAGGCAGCTTGGGTCTTGGTGCCCCAGAATTATATCATCCATGGAGGCATAGGCAAGGGAGGTATCTGAACCCAGTACTGGCCTTAAAAGTGTGGCCAAGTATTGTTGGCAAAAGGTCAGGCTATTGGCCATTCCCTGTCGCAGCATTGTCCATTCAAACCTCCATCAGGCTGGGAAAAATTCAGAGAAGGTATGGAGAAAGCAAACTTTTCCCAGTCATCTGGATGTAGGGGGATAGAAAAAAAACAATCTTTAATATCAATCACAACCAAGGTATATTCTGAAGGTATAGCGAGAGTCCAGGGCATGCCTCGTAGGGGCGTTCCTACTAGCTCCATCCTTTCATTTACCTTACATAGATCTTGGAGCATACACCAAGCCCCGGAGGCTTTTTGAGTAACAATATAGGTGTGGTCTAAGGACTCATAGAAGGGCATATGTGCCCAAGGTTTATCTGTTCCACCACCAGAAGGTAGAGGGCTACAAGTTTAGGTTTGGTCAATGGCCACTGCTCCACCCAGATTGGGCTTCTTGGCTTCCACCTATTGGGAGGTTCTCAAGGGGCAGTGGCCTATAGGATTGCGGTTCCACCCCAGCGGGTTCCCTATGTTCTTCTCTGTAATTATGAAAGTTAAAAAAATCCTTTTCCTTAACTCCCTCTAGATCCTGTTTAAGCCTTTGTACTTCTTCTCCATCCAGGATGGTCCTTAGTATCCACAGTGTCCATTTGTCTTAGCAGGTCTTGGCCTAGTAAATAGGCAGTGAGGATTTTTTGCCACTAAAGGGCATATCTTTCCGTGTTTTCCAATTGAGCTAGTACATTTCATAACACAACTGTATCTTTCGACTGGGAGTTGCCCCATACCCCCAATATCTGGGGCCCAGGTGCAAGCTTCCAGTCCAAGGGCACTTCCTCCTCCCTGAGTATGGTTTGATCTGCCCCTGTGCCAAGTAAGCAGTGAAACCTCTTTCCGCCTATGAGAATACTCATTTTAGGGTGGAGTCCTTCCACCAGGGAGAAGGTCCAATGGGCCTGGGTCGCCCTGCCATGAGGCTGCCTGGGCCTCACAGCAGAGGGGGTTCTTCCTTGAGTTAATGGGGCTGGAGGATGCCCCTCCCTTATTTTAAAGGCTTCCCATCTAAATCAAACTTGGATCAACAATCCTTTTTCCAATGGTATATTTTCCTGCACTTGGGGCAGGGTGTAGGGGGCCCGTTTGGTCCCCCTGGGCTGGTTGGTGGGGGATTGTTGTACACACTCCCTCTTAAAGTGCCCCTCCTGCCCGCATTTAAAACAAGTCCCTCTTCCTGATGGTCTTGGGGTTCCTCCGCCCTGGGCTGCCAGTGCCTGGATAAAAGTCTCAGTCATTGCATATATCTGAGCCTGTAAAGCTAAAGCTAATGATTGGGATTGGTGCTGTTGCGTTCCCACATCCTGGGAGGCCACCACCCATCTGCTCAGGGAACTCTCTCTCAATCCCTTGCAGGCCATATGTGTTCTGCATTCATCCCTTCCCAGACCAGCAGCTTTACAAACTGATCTTGGAGCTTCCCTGCCAGCAGCAATGAACGCTTTGTTGGACTTGGTCTATAAAATCAGGTAGAGGCTCACCTGGTTTTTGTCTCACTGCTGCTATGGGGGACTCAGTGGGCCCATCATCCAGTTTGTATCAAGCGGCAAGTCCTGCCTGCCTCACCTGGTCATGGTATGGGCCAGGTATGGTGGCCTGTTGGACGCCAATGGAGTACCCTTCCCCCATCCTTGTTAACATGGCATAAGTAATAGGTATCACGAGTTGAGCCTGCCAGTTATTTCTGCTCCCACTCTGCATTCCTCCTTAAAGAAAGCACACCATTTGATGAACTGAGAACTGGTGAGGACGGCTTTGGCCACATCCAGGCAGTCCTAAGGGACACATGGGTGATAAGCAATGTCCTGGAACAGGGTCTGGGCCCAGGGAGAGTTCGGGCCATCCTCTGCCACTGCCTTGCGGAGCTCTTTAAGATCCTTAGCTTCCCATGGATACCATTCCAAGGGCCTGTTAGCCCCTGCTGCCAGATTGACCGGATATGCTTGGGGAGGCAAATCCTGTGGTCTAGAGTCCAGGCTCTCAGGAGGCCTTTCCCTTCCAGGGTAGGTCTCTGAGTAGGTTACTTCCCAGGCCTCGGCCCCTCCATTGAAGGTTGGTAGGGGGTCTGAGTCTTGAAAGTCCCTCTCCCAGGTCTCATAGGGTGCAGTACCTCCCCTCCAATCGGGGGAGTAGGGAGGAGGCCTAGGACCGTCAGGAGCACCTGAGTCAGATGGAGTCATTTTCACCCTCGTTTTGACTTCCACTGTGCATGTTTCAGTGTGTTCTCAGTCCAATTTGACCCGTTCCTTTTCCTTCTCACTTCCCAAGTCCTCCTGTACTCCTTCTAGGCCTAATGTTGCCTCCTCCTCCTTCTTCTGTGAGATACCATTACCCATACTAAGGGTTTTACTTACGCTGAGAGACTGCTTAGCCTCTGCCGGTATCTTTTCCTTTTGTGCCCCACGTTGGACGCCAGATGTTGGGTCTTCGTCCACCCCAGTCCCACGAAGAAAAGACGGATGGGGTCCAAGGAAAGGTAAGTGTGGCTCTTGCCCATTCCCCAGCCTCCCTCAGCCTGGGAGACAATCAGACTCAGTGGGAAGTCAAGTCAAGCAGGTAGACAACTTGTTTATAAACGGAGAACAGGCCCTTTTGAAAGCCAAAAAGGAGCAGGTGGCTTGGCAGGGGAGGAAGAGGAACCAATCACTGTCAAGGTCACACCCTATCATGCACCTACGCTTTTAGGGGCTGGTTATGTACTGAACTTAAGGCAAATCGGGCTCTGCCCACTCTACTCTCTCTCAGCGCCATCTTTGCTGCCCATGTGCTCTGCAAGTTCTGCCGCCATGTTTGCCTTGATGGCTTGGCCTCTCCACTTTCACCACAATTTTTTTTTTTATTGTTGTTCAGTCCTGGGGCTTGAACTCTGGGCCTGGGCACTATCCCTCAGCTCTTCAGCTCAAGACAAGCATTCTACCACTTGATCTACAGCACCACTTCTGGTTTTCCAGTTGTGAATTGGAGATAATTGTCTCACAGACTTTCCTGCCTGAGCTGGCTTTGAATAATGATCCTCAGATATCAGCCTCCTGAGTAGCTAGGATTACAAGCATCAGCCACCGGTGCCAGACTACAGGCACCACTTTTTTTCATATTACCCCCTCAATCACTGTATTAACAATGAAAATCAAAAGTAGGCAAAGAAAATCACTCTTTATTTGGGCCTTATGTTGTAATAACAAGGAAAAGCAAAGAGATTTTCTCATGATGTGCACAAAGTAAGCCACACAGCCTGCTGACACAGTAAGAAACAGGACTTGCCATGGGTCTACACCAATCATTGAATTCCTTCATGCAAATGAAGGGTTTTGTTTGCACCAATCACAAGTCTTCTGCTGGGCCACTAGGGTAATGAGGTGTTCCCTGGCTAGTCTGGGTGAGAGTGACCATAGGGTCTTCTAGAGTTCACAAGGCTAGTGGTGGCAAAAGTCCAATACAAGCTACTTGCTGGTCAGTGCATTCTGGCACCAGAGTCATGATTTGGGGACACATTTGTAACTATTCATTCTTTGCTCAAGCCAGTCAGGCTCCAGCTCCTTTAACCGCTGTTAAAATGTTTAACAGTGGTCAAGTTTATTTCCCAACATTATCAATCCATTTAAAGGAAGAAAATAAACAATGTAAAAGGCGTTACAATCAAGACTTACTGGTACCAACAATGAGTGCTTTGACTATGTATGGCTGTGATCTAAGAATGCTGAGCTCCTGCCCCATGCCTCCATGGATGGCTATCATCTGTTTGGGGCTAGGGCTGCAGGGGTCCAGCTGTTTCCTAGAGTCCCAGGCAGGGGCAAAATGGACTTCTCACTATCCTTTCAAAGCTCTACTTATTGCCCCATGTGGCCACCTTTGTATACAAAGGTGTTGGGAGAAAGCGGCTGCTCTTCATGTAGGCAGAGATTTTCTTCAAGCCCTGAGTGGAAAAGAGAAAGCAGAGGCTCAGGATATGTGGAGATCCACAGAGGGAAAGCAACTTCCTCTTATTCATGCAGATAGTGAGAAGGACAGGGCTGTCTGTCAGTCTGTCCTCTCTGGATATGCCCTTTCTACCCTCACACAGGAGGCCCTTGTCTGCACAGACATGCTCTTCTTTCCCAGGGAAGCTCCTGTTTGCCTGGATTTGCACACAAGGGACTGACCAGGAAGAACAAAGGAACTGAGAATTTGCTATGCTGTTTGGCATAGAGCCCAGGCCTTACCCAGCAACTCAGTAAATCTTGGGTAAAAGTGTGGAAGATGGAGGAAGAGGGCTTCTGTGGCTCACACCTTATAATCTTAGTTACTTAGGAGGCTGAGATCTGAGGATCGTTGTTTGAAGTCAGTCCCTGAGATTCTTATCTTACCTCCATTTAATCACAAAAATAAAAGCTAAAATTGAAGATGTGGCTCAAGTGGTAGAGTGCTAGCCTTGAGCAAAAAGAAAAAAAGAAAGAGAAAAAGCCAAGGAAGGACATGAGGCCCTCAGTTTCAGCCACACACACACACACACACACACACACACACACACACACACACACACACACACACACACACACAGATGGAGGAGGACCCATAAGGAAAGGTAGAGCCAGTCCCAATCAATCCTCAAAGAGCAGAAAGTCCAATTTTCTCCACTTGTACCCCACCCAACTGCCAGCCCTGATACAGAGACTAAGCTAAATGACATTCAATTGTATTATGTGACTTATTTCCAAGGTTCAGCTCCTGGGCAATTTCTAAAGGGTTCAGTGTAATCTAGGGTTGCCTGTATCAATGGATCAAGTCCACACTAGCTTCAAGCAGCAGCCTCAGCCCTCCCAGCCCCTCCCCCTCTCATCCTGCCCATCCCTCCCATCCCTCCCATCTCAGAGTCAAGCCAGCTCTTGCACAATCCCCAAGGCCACATAATCTGGACCAGAACCAGAACTGATGAGAACTTGCTGCAAAAGCACAACACTTCATGAGGAAGGGAAAACAACAAATTCTAGTCTGAAATAATTCACACCGATGCCTACAACTTCCAAATCTCCTAAAGTAGGTTTTATGGGTTTCAAATATAAGGACTCTTGGTGCCCCAGGCCCTGCTGTGAGGTGAGAACAAGGCTGGACTCCCCAGAACCCAAGTGGGGCACCTCACAGTCTGGAATTCCAACTATTCCATGCTTTACTCAGTGCCAAGATGGGGGAAGGGGTTTCTCTCTGTATTGTACCTGCCTGACATGGAGCCTCATAGAGAAAAGGTCAGAAAACATGAGTAAAAATAAGTTCATAGATCAATTCACAGATGAACCATCTGGCACATTCAAAGGAAGAAGGAAAAAACAAAGGAAAAAGGTGGAAGGAAAGGCCCACACCATAGAATACTTCTATCCTAGGCTTCTCCAAATCCAGCACCAACTACTGATCTGACTGGATTGAGCAAAGCCTCCTGCAGATCAGGTGTGAATACTGTCTGAATCTTGGGGATTCACATTAATCCCTCACCTCACTTCCCTAATACCTGTTGAATAGACTCTGCTGACTCTGCCCAAGGTCCTGGGCAGTAAACCTGAAGATTTTTCCTTTAGCACAAAACCTGAAAAGCTACTAAACTGCTGCTCTTAGAAGTCAGAGGACCACAAGGATTCCAGAACAACCTCCCCAGCACTGAACAAGTGACTCACCCCCTACACTCCCAAGTTCCTAATCTGTCCAGTGGGACAGATTGCTCTATCTGTAGGAATGCCAGCCCAATAGATGCAAATTGCTAACTACAGGCCCTAGTTGCTCTTCATTCAGCTCTAGGCCTAGAAAAACATCCTAAAAAAAAGAAGGAGGTCATAACCTGGAAAACGAGGATGAGAGGTACCACCTCAAAGTGAGAAACGAAGTCCTTCAGGTTTGGAAATGTGTCCAAGCATTTGGGGTCAGATATGCGGTGCAAGTCAAGGATATCATAAGCCAGGAAATCCACAGAGGTGATCTGCAAAACAGCCAAGGATAAAGGAACATGAAATTCTTGTTTTGTTTTTCTTTCTTTCTTTCCTTCTTTCTTTCTTTCTTTCTTTCTTTCTTTCTTTCTTTCTTTCTTTCTTTCTTTCTTTCTTTCCTTCTTTTTTGTCAGTCGTGGGTGGGGCTTGAACTCTGGGCCTGGGTGCTGTCCCTCAGCTCTTCAGCTCAAGGCAAGTGCTGCCACCCCTTGAGCCACAGCATCACTTCCAGTTTTCTATGGTTTATTGGAGATAAGAATCTCAGGATTTTCCTGCCCAGGCTGGCTTTGAATGACAATCCTCAGATCTCAGCTTCTTGAGTAGCTAGGATTACAGGTGTGAGCCACTGGCTCCTGGCTTGTAAGCACGAAATTCTGTACTCTTGAAAGAACAAATTCTCATCCCTTCCCTTTTTAGTGTATATGTGCCAGTTCTGGTGCTTGAAATCAGGGCCTGGACATTGTTCCTGAGATTCTTTTTGTTCAAGGCAAATATACTTTATTTTAATAGTTTGTTGGAAGTAAGAGGCTCAGGTCCTTTCCTGCCCAGGCTGGCTTCAAACTATGATGTTCACATCTCAGATTCCTGAGTAGCTAGGATTACAGATGTGAACAACTGGTACCCAGCTTGATTCCCTCCCTTTTACCTTGTCACCCACAAACCATGGCTGCTTCCCCAGGAACTCTGAGAAGAGCTTCATCATTCCAGGGAGTTGCTCCAAGTACTCTAGCTTCAGTTTCTCCTGAGACAGAAAACAGCTGTCACTACCCTCACCCACAAATTCCCTGACATAGTGACCAGTCTCCACAGTGTTGGGCATAGCCCCAATCAGCAGACATCTACCCTCAGATGGAGACTAGGTCGGTGTTCAGTCTTTAATAGACTCCTTCTGGATACTTCACCCAGTCCTTGAAAGGCAATAAAAAGTCAGACAGGAATGGGCCACTTCTCTTAAGGAAACATTACAACTCCTGGCAGTCAAACAAGCTCCGGTGTGTCTAACCCAGGAGTGCTCTGACTACCTGGCAGATGCCAGGCAGAATTAAAGATGCAAGAACTAAAAGTACTAGCTCTACCTAGTAAGTTTCAAAAGCATGAAATAAACATCTAAGTCTTTCTCATAAAGCAAAAAATGAAGCTGAAAAAGAGGAGCAGAGGTCTTCTGGCTGGCCCTATTAGGAAAAGTAATTGATTCATGCACTAGGAAACATTTGGGCAGAGGCCAGAACTCAAGACTTCCATGACAATTCTGCATGTGGACTTCCCTTTCTCCTCAGTCAGTGTGTTTATTTCATGAGCAGGTACATGGAATGAACCTCCTGGGAGAAGAGCCAGGTCAGAGGGCAGAAGTGGAGAGAATTCTGAAACCCTGACACTTTCTAGCACTGACTATCCATCTTGGAGAATCTAGACTGCTATCAGGTTAGTAGGGACTGAATCAGAACGTTCAGTTAATACAGTCCGGTGAGGGACACGGGTGGCAACACAGGAAACATCCTTGAAGATAAGCAGTTCTAATGAGTTCAAAAGTGAAAGAGGACCAGCAGAGATGGGAATTTAAAAGATTTGACTCTTGATCCAAACCCTGCCTGACACAGCCCATGGCAGAGGAGGAGAGGGACAGGGAGTGGGTAGCAAAATATGATTCACAAAGTCTGGGCTGTAGCAGACTCTGGCTAGCTGATTGGAGACATCCATAGCCTGGTTCTCCAAAATGTCCACTTGAATCTTCTCCTGTTCTGTCTCCCCACCTGCAGCCACACAACTCAGTTGCATCCTCTCCATCCCACCCCAAACAAACCCAAGGGATGACCACTGCCTGTCTCACATGCCCAGCCACCAGCCCCACTCATACAGGTTGTGCTTGCGGGCAATGTAGCGCAGGATGGCATTGCTCTAGGTGATCTTGTGAGCTCCATCAATCAAGTAGGGCAGCTGGATGGACAAGCAGAGAAGGTTACAAGGGGCCTCAGGTCCCAGCAGCCCTTCTCTGGGTTAGAGCAGACACAGAACCTAGCACTCAGTGTGCTTGGCACTGGTGAGCCCCACATAAACACACTTCAAAATGAATGCAAGAGTCAAGACATAGAGCGTCATAGAAAACCACAGATAGCCAGAAAGGAAAGGAGTAGAGCAGAAAAGCCCTGATCCTAGAAGCTCTCAGCTGGGCAAGGAAAGGAGGGAAGGAAGGAGGGAGGCCACACTTCCCTAGACCACCCCTTCCCCTGCACCTCCATTGGGGAAGTCCAGGCCCAGCTTGAACTTCTCACTCAACCACTGGCTTCTGTCATAGTCAGGAGCTGTGATAGATGAGATCAAGTGAAAACAAACCTCCCTGAGTCCAGCCCTCCTTCCCCAGGATCCCCTGAGGCAGTGGATCTGCACTCTGACCAGCTGTGTCCCACATGCCAAGGCTACAGGGGTGAAGAATGCTGGGAAGGCTGAGGGATCTAAGGACCAGGTCAGAAAAGGTTTAGGCCAGTGCTAGACAACCCCACCCAACTTCAGACAAAGGAGGTCCCTGGTCCTCCACTCCCAGCTCCTTGTAATGGAAATCCAAAGTGAGCCCTTTTAGGATTTGGGAAGGAGCAGGCCCTGGGTGGGGTTGGAGGCCTGCAGAGCTGGGCAACAGGTGACCACAGTATGAGTGGCTGGGCACCCCAATGCGCAAGAATTGGTCACAAGTCTGACCAGGAGGTGTCATTACCGTCCCCCATTGTGTATCTCTTCTCCTCATAGCTTGTGTCTGTGTATTCCAGGAGCAGGCGGATGGCGTGGGCCAGCTGGGAAAGTTGGCAGGTGAGAGAGATCAGAAATGGGGGATCCTGTCTGTGACTTCACCTCCTCCAGGTGAAGTCTAACAATATCTAACAATACTTTCCACATGCATGCACACTCTATGCGTGCACACACAGAAAGAAACAGGTCGCACGTGTGTGCCCTCTGGTAAGGCTCAGGCAGAAGACTCCAGCAAGTTCTGAGGAAGATCCCCATTCTAGAACTGCCTCCCCCCCAACCCGAGTCAGCTTCTCCCCATTCCTCGGCCCCTCCCACCGGTCAGGCGGTTGCTCAACCCGCGGATGTCCCAGTAACCAAGTGTCATGGGCATGGTGCTGGTATTATGGACAAAGCCACACTGGCCTCGGCCGTCTTGGACTGTGACTTTACCCAGTGTACAGTGGGGGTGGGCGGGGCTGCTGGCCTCGCCCCCATGCCGCCCCTGGCCCCGCCCCTTTGCCTCGCCCCGCCCCCATGCCTCTATGTAGTGTGTGTGTGTGTGTGTGTGTGTGTTCTGGTTTTGGTTCGGGGGTGGGGGGTGATGCCTTAGGAGTGGTGGAGCACATGACAGTATAGCCTGAGTCTCAGTGGGCCTAGCCTGTTGACAGTCTGGGAGTCTAGGAAGCCTTTAGAAATGATCCTTGTGTGTCTCATTGTTATTCAATTTGTGCTCTCTGGACAGCAGTTGAGGTGGATTAAGCACACGGGGATTACACTGGGGTGCTGGGTGAGGTAGAATCAGCTTTCTGATTTAGATTAGCAGTTGTAGCAGCTTGTGCTTTCTTTGTGGTTTGGCTTCTTCCTCTGCACTGGCCATCAGGGTTTGCTGAGTCACTGGGTGAGATCTGGGCTCACTCAGGAGCTGCACAGGCAAGTTCTCTGTCCTGCTGTTCTGCCAGATCCTCCTTCCTTTTCATTCTACCTAAGTCAAGAGCTTCAACGTGAAAAAGGGATGTGTGTGTGCAGACAGGCCTTGTGTAGGAGAGAAGAAGGCAAAAGCACAGAGAGAACACACAATGACCAATCCTGGCTGCTTGAAGCCCTGGCTGACTTCTTCACCATTGGAGAAGGAGGATGTTGCATAACCTCTGTCTCCCTCAGGCTCATTATTATTATTACGATTGTAAAATTCCACTTAAGTAATTAATATGAAAATATGATAAAAAGTTATGTAGATGCATAAAATATTAAGCTAGACTAAAACACATAGCAGCCTACAAGTCAGCAAATATTTTCTATGATGTGCCAATATTTCATGGTGTTGGCCATGATTCTTCCCTGTTTCATTGTATAGAAACAATGATAACTCATACATACTACACGGATGCTCCTTTGCTTCATGAAATATTATTTACAAACATTGGTGGCTATAACCAAGAGGTCACAAATACAAGATTCAAACATTGACTAAAAACTCAGATAAAAATTTCTCCATAGAAGATATGCAAATGCCATGAGCTCAGGGAAAATCTCTCAAGACCGCTAATCATTAGGGAAATGTAAATCAAATCTCTAATGAGGATCACACATTGTGGAGTGACTACTATCCAATAGCAATGATGGGTTTGGTGATTTTTGTGGAAATACTGTAACCCTTTTAATACTCTTCCAGTGAGGATGGAAAATGGTATAGCCACTGTGCAAATTATGCAGTTTATCAAAACACGAAGCTTGGTCCAAAACCAAGAGTTGCGAGATCCATTGGTCTGAGATTGACTTTGCCTTGTCTCAAAGAACTTAAGGGACATAATGGCTAGGAGAACAGATTTTGGAACAAAAAGGAAATGAGTTTATAAAGGCGAGGTTGTTATCTACATTAGCTAATGCTTTGTTTGGACTGCAAGTATGAACTCAGTGTGTCAACAATGGTCCTTTCCTGGAACTCAGGTAGACGTGGATTTGATCCCCAGAATGACAACATTTTAAAAAAGTATTAATCATTTTGTAAGACTTGAATTGCAATAATAATTTCAAAGCAGATGCTATACCTGAATGCGTATCAATTGTTCCCTCTATTAGCAGGGGGAGGACAGGAGGCCCAGGACCGGGAATAAGATGGATCCTTCATTTTGACTTAGTTTGGCTATTAACAGACACAACTGAGGTGAGAACTACAGAGAGAGAGTTTGGAAATACAGGCACATCTTTATGTTTTTATACCCTGAGCAGAGTGGACAAGTGGACAGGGAGGGA